TTAATGGTCAGATTATTACATTGTTCCTATTTTTTCCCCCATAACTCCCTTCCTTCCAGTTCCCACCCCACGCTCCGCCCTCACTCCCCACCCACTGTCCTCATCCATAGGTGCACGATTTTTGTCCAGTCTCTTCCCGCATCTCCCACACCCTTTTCCTTCCAAGAATAGTCAGTCCATTCCTTTTCTATTTCCCTGATTCATTATAATCACCAGTTCATTCTGTACATCAGATTATTTATTCACTTGATTCTTAGATTCACTTGTTGATAGATGCATATTTGTTGTTCATAATTTGTATCTTTACCTTTTTCTTCTTCTTCCTCTTCTTAAAGGATACCTTTCAGCATTTCATATAATGCTGGTTTGGTGGTGATGAACTCCTTTAGCTTTTCCTTATCTGTGAAGCTCTTTATCTGACCTTCAATTCTGAATGATAGCTTTGCTGGATAAAGTCATCTTGGTTGTAGGTTCTTGGTATTCATCACTTTGAATATTTCTTGCCACTCCCTTCTGGCCTGCAAAGTTTCTGTTGAGAAATCAGCTGACAGTCGTATGGGTACTCCCTTGTAGGTAACTGAGTTTCTTTCTCTTGCTGCTTTTAAGATTCTCTCTTTGTCTTTTGCTCTTGGCATTTTAAATATGATGTGTCTTGGTGTGGTCCTCTTTGGATTCCTTTTGTTTGGGGTTCTCTGCGCTTCCTGGAGTTGTAAGTCTATTTCTTTCAGCAGGAAGGGGAAGTTTTCTGTCATTATTTCTTCAAATAGGTTTTCAATATCTTGCTCACTCTCATCTTCTGGCACCCCTATAATTCTGATGTTGGTGCGCTTGAAGCTGTCCCAGAGGCTCCTTACACTATCTTTGTATTTTCGGATTCTTTTTTCATTTTGCTTTTCCGGTTGGGTATTTTTTGCTTCTTCGCATTTCAAATCTTTGACTTGATTCTTGTGCTCCTCTGGTCTGCTGTTGGGAGTCTGTATAATATTCTTTATTTCAGTCCGTGTATGCTTAATTTCTAGTTGGTTCTTTATCACAACATCGAGGGTCTCATTAGATTTCTTGTATATCTCCATAAGTTTATCGGCGGCTTCTAGACAGTTCTTGAGGGACCTTAAAAGTGTGGTTCTGAACTCAATATCCTCCATTGACAATTTTGTCCTGTTTCTTTGTCTCCGCATTTTTTATGCTTTCTTGGTGCACCCCCTAGTGGTCTTTGTGCGCAGTCTTGTTGTAGTTAAGCCTTGATTGTTGTAGTTAATACTAGGGGGATTTGACCTCCAGGCCAACTGGCTGTGAGAATCAGCTGTGTCTGCAGTGGGAAAACTTCTGTCCTCTGGGGAGGTGCTAATCTAGCCTTTGCCTGAGGCTCTCCGGCAAATGGCTCTGCGCAGGGCTTGGGCGGGGCGGGTCGCACGGGATCAACAGGGCGGGCGGAGGGAGCAGTTATGGCTGCTCTCAGTCCCATCCCAAGAGGCTCAGCGTCCCAGCAACCGCTGCAAACCTCGGAGAGAAAGCTGCGCTCGTGTTCCGACTGATGCCAGACAGTCCCGCTTCTCCTGTTTGAGTCTGGGTCCCTAGAGACTCGCCCAGAACTGGAGCTCAGAATCTGAGACTCCCTCCCGATTGAAAACGACAACCGCGCCCTCAGCCACCAGCCCGCTCCACGCGCACCTCCGAACCTTTGTATTTTCCACACTGCGCCTCCTCTGAGTCTCAGTATGTTGTTCTCTTTCCTTCTAGTTGAAGAATTTCCCCTCAGCCAGCCTTCCTGTGGTTCTGGGTGATGTCCGTTCCGTCTTTTAGTTGTATTTTTGAAGTGGTTGTTCGAGGCAGCAAACTCCCGTGTTTACCTATGCCGCCATCTTGGTTTCCCCTGGTGTCACTGTTAAAGTCACAGGAGACAGCCTGGTCCTCAGTGTAGCCCAGAACGTCCTTGAAGATCCCTCTGACACCTGTTTCACCACCTTGTTCTTTTTATAAAAATGTTATTTCAGAGTGAGGAAGGGAGAGGGAGAGAGAGATGGAAATATCAATGATGAGAGAGAATCACTGATTGGCCGCCTCCTGCACGCCCCCTACTAGGGATCAAACCTGCAACCCTCACCACCTTCTTGGTGTCATAGTATTTGGCCGCTTTCTCTAGGCAGCTGGTCAGATCCATCACCAACACATGGGGAAAGGGGAAGGCAATGTCGGTGAACTTCCTATGCAGCTCAGGGATGACCTTGCCCACAGCCTTGCAGCACCAGTAGAAGCAGCCCCTCAGCCATCACACCACAGCTTCCCAGAGGGGCCATCCACGGGCTTCCGGGTGACAGTGATGGCATGGACTGAGATCATGAGTCCCTCCTCCATGCCAAAGTTGTCATCGATGACCTTGGCCAGGGGCACCAAGCAGTTGGAGGTGCAGGAGGCATTGCTGACAATCTTGAGGGAGTTGTCATACTTGTCATGGTTCACATCCATCACAAACATGGGGGCATCCACAGAAGGGGCAGAGATGATGACCCTCTTGGCTGCCCCTTCAAGTGAGCACCGGCCTTCTCCATGGTAGTGAAGTCACCGGTGGACTCCCAACATACTCATCACCAGCTTCACCCCATTTGATGTTGGTGGGCTCTCACCCCTGAAAGATGGGGATGGGTTTTCCACTGATGACAAACTTCCTCTTCTCAACCTCGACTGTGCCTTTGAACTTGCCATTGGTAGAATCATGCTGGAACGTGTAGACTAAGCATGTCAAACTCAAAGTCTAACACGGGCCAAATAAACAAGGTATAAGTGTATATGGACCACAAAAAAATAAAAGCTTCAATTTTCATAGAAACGTAGGTTTATTTCAATAGAGACATGCTGAATACAAAGGGCTGAAATAAATGAGTAATCGTTAACATAAAATAATAGAACATTTTAATAAAGATTAATATTTTGTCTTGAACATTAACTTACCAGACACTGGATAACTGCACAAATTAATAAGCGTAACACAAATAAACCTATTCTTGTTCTCCAAAAGTGAAATATTTCCTGTTGTGCACACCAGACAAGTCAGTCCAGGACTAATGATGTGGCCATCGGCTGCTAAAATATTCGCCGCTAGTATCAGCGGAGAGAAATGGTGCGCCTGCACGTAAGACACATAAGGAAAATGAATGCAACACGATTATAGTAATCAGTCATTAGCGAACGTTGTAGTTCATTATTAATAATTATGTATAACAGGATATTGTAAAAATTAAGTTATGAAATTTTTATTAAAACATTTCTTACATACTGTTATATTGGCTGGGCTGCAAAAATATTCGTTGTGGGCTGCATGCGGCCCGCAGGCTGCGAGTTTGACATGCTTGGTGTAGATCAATTAGTTGAGGTCAATGAAGGGGTCATTGATGGCAACTATCTACTTTGCCATAGTTAAAAGCAGAGCTTGTGACCAGGCGCCCAATGTGTGCACTGGTGGGGGAAGGGGGGTGGGGGGGTGTCCCTCAGCCCCACTGTGCCCTCTCACAGTCTGGGACCCCTCGGGAGATAACCACCTGCTGGTTTAGGCCCGCTCCCCAGGTGGCAGATGGCAGGCCTGATCCCTCGGTGCCTGCCCCGCCTCCCCGGGATGCGCACACGGCAGGGCCGATCCGGGGATTGGGGCGCCGCCCCAGGTCGGGTTGCACATGGGACGCCCGGGCGGGCTGGCGGATTGCTGCTGCCCCGCCCGGCCGCCCCGGGTCGGGTCACACACGGGATGCCCAGATGGAGGCCTGGCGGGCTGGCTGATCGCTGCTGCACTGCCCGGCCGCCCCGGGTCGGGTCACACACGGACGCCCGCTGCCCTGGGTCACAGATAGCAGGCCCGGATGGTGGCAGGGCAGGTGGGATGGCGCTGTCCCGCCCCACCGCCCCGGGTCGCAAATAGCAGGCCCAGATGGCGGCAATGGTGCTGTCCTGCCCTGCCTGAAGTATGCAAATTAGCTGCCATCTTTGTTGGCAGTTAATTTGCATATCATGCTGATTAGCCCATGGGAGGCGTAGCGAAGGTGTGGTCAATTACCATGTTTGACTATTATTAGATAGGATTATGTATAACAGGATATTGTAAAAATGAAGTTATGAAATTTTTATTAAAACATTTCTTACATACTGTTATATTGGCTGGGCTGCAAAAATATTCGTTGTGGGCTGCATGCGGCCTGCAGGCTGCGAGTTTGACATGCTTGGTGTAGATCAGTTAGTTGAGGTCAATGAAGGGGTCATTGATGGCAACTGTCTACTTTGCCATAGTTAAAAGCAGAGCTGGTGACCAGGCGCCCAGTGTGGCCAAATCTGTTCACTCCGACCTTCCCCATCGTGTCGGGGTTGTGGCTGCTTCGACCTGGCATTGCGCAGGAGATGTGGTTGTCTGTTGAATGGGAGGAGTTGAGAGTTTCGGGTGATTTTTAATAGCTTAGGCCTTCAAGAGCTTTTCAGTCTGGAGTTTGGTGAAAGAAGGACAGTGTTATGACATTAGCCTCTGGGCCCAGCTCTCTCTCTCGCTGGCTGTTCTCTTGTGAGAACAGAACCCTAGAACTGCTCTGTTGACTCAGACCATCTGTTTGGGAGAATGTGGTGGTTCTGGTTCCTGCCAGAGCCCCTCGTTCAGGAGAAATGTAAACCAGCTTTCTCTCTGACTTTACAGAAAAGGCCACAGATGGCTCCCTGCAAAGCGAGGACTGGACATTGAACATGGAGATCTGCGACATCGTCAATGAGACAGAGGAAGGGTAGGTGTGCTCCCCCCACCCTGCTGTGACGCTTGTCAGTTCCGGGGTGTCACTCAAAGCCTGGCAGGGCTTAAGGATGTTTGGTGTTTTGTTTTCGATCTGTTTGCCTTGGCATTTAATATGCTGACCTTTTTAAAAAAATTGACAAGGGGGGGGAGAGAAACATTGATGTGAGAGAGATACATTGATCCATTGCCTCCTGTACATACCCCAACCAGGGGTCAAACTGCAACCTGGGTATGTGCCCTAACCCGGAATCGAACCTACGACCTTCTTCTGGGGCATGGAACAACACTCCAACCAACTGAGCCACACTGGCCCAGGCAATATGCTGACATTCTTTAATTATCTTTCCTCTTCCTATCCACTTTGCCCCCACTTCCCCGATGGCAGTGCTGAGTCAGAGCCCTGAAAACCTCTTTTAATAACCTGCCTTTACTCACAAGTGAAAATGAAGTTGCTTGGTTACTTGGTCCCCGGTAGTCGTTGGTCTCCATAGCCAGATTATCACCCCTGCCCCCACTCCTTCCTAACCTCTGCCTTCCCTTCGCAGATGTGAGGCTGTCTCTGCCATGCTTGCTGGGCTGGGGCCCCAGGAGTCAGAGAGAGCGCCCACAGAGCAGCCTGGTGTTTCCGCAGTGGGCATCCCTGAGCTGCTGAGTCTGTGCTTATTGTTAAGCATGATACAGCCTCTTCTACATCATAGCTGCATTCTAGTTACACTTCTTCCAAAGTGGTCTATATTTGGCCCTCTGCCACACCATAAAAATGGAATTTATTATTGCCATGTCGCCTTAAACTATCTCCAAAGTGGTAGAAGAACAGCCTAGAGCAGTGATGGCGAACCTTTTGAGCTCGGCGTGCCAGCATTTTGAAAAACCCTAACTTAACTCTGGTGCCATATCACATATAGAAATTTTTTGATATTTGCAACCATAGTAAAACAAAGACTTCTATTTTTGATATTTATTTTATATATTTAAATGCCATTTAACAAAGAAAAATCAACCAAAAAAATGAGTTCGCGTGTCACCTCTGACACGCGTGTCATAGGTTCGCCATCACCGTCCTAAACTCATGCAGCCCTCAGCTTGCATAGTGACACTGTCACTTACAGCCTTGTAATGTATAAATTGGGGACCAGCCTCTTAAGGTTGGTCCTGCTTTCATTCAACAAATAGGCACTAAATGATCATTTGTGCCGGGCCTGCGTGTGAGTCCTGAGGACACACCAGTGAGTAGGGCAGACAGATTCCCTCCCCTCGAGGAGCAGACAGGCCAGGGTGGGGTGGTAGGCCATCAACATAATGACTAGAACAGGCCACATGGTCAGCTGGGGATAAGACTATCGAGAGAAATGAAGCTGGGGATGGAGAAGGCTGGTAATTAGCAGTTTTAAATGGAATAATCAAGGAAAGCCTTACATAAGTTACATTGAACAAAGAGTTGAGGTAAACCAGGGGGTGAGGTGTGAGGATTATACCAGGGAAGAACTTTTCAACAGAGGGAACAGCAAGCACAGAAGTCCTGGGACAGAGGGTGTCTGGTGTGTTTCAAGAATAGCAAGGAGCCCGGCCAGTGTGGCTCAGTGGATAGAGTGTCGGCCTGTCAACCAAAGGGTCACAGGTTCAATTCCTGATCAAGGGTACATACCTTCAGAAATTAAGCATACACTGACTGAAATCTATAATAATAAAAGCATAATATGCTAATTAGACCAGATGTCCTTTCGGACAACCTTCTGGATGAAGCCAGGGCTGCGAGGGAAGCCCAGATCCTGGGTGCCTGCTGGTGGCTGGAGAGAAGTCCGGGTCCCGGGTGCCAGAGGGAAGCTAGTGCCGGCAGCCGGGGGAAGGAAGGCCTACTCTTGCACCAACTTCGTGCATCAGGCCTCTAATAAAGAATAATATACAGGGACTCACCAATAGAGTAGAGGATTCCAAGAATCAAATGGATGATTTGGAATGTGAGGAAGCAAAAAACACCCAATCAGAAGAGCAAAAAGAAAAAGGAATCAAAAAATATGAAGATAGTGTAAGGAGCCTCTGGGACAACTTTAAGTGTACCAACATTCGCATTATGGGCGTGCCAGAAGGAGAAGAGAGAGCAAGATATTGAAAACCTATTTGAAGAAATAATGACAGAAAACTTCCCCTACCTGGTGAAAGAAATAGACTTACAAGTCCAGGAAGCACAGAGGCCCACACCAAGACACATCATAATTAAAATGCCAAGGGTTAATGACCAAGAGAGAATCTTAAAAGCATCATGAGAAAAGCAGTTAGTTACTTATAAGGGAGTGCCCATGTGACTGTCAGCTGATTCCTCAGCAGAAACTTTGCAGGCCAGAAGGAAGTGGCAAGAAATACTCAAAGTGATGAATAGCAAGGACCTACAACCAAGATTACTCTACCCAGTGGAGCTATCATTTAGATTTGAAGGTCAGATAAAGAGCTTCACAGACAAGGAAAAGCTAAAGGAGTTCATCACCACCAAACCAGTATTACATGAAATGTTGAAGGGTATTCTTTAAGAAGAAGAAGAAAAAGAAAGAGGAGGAGGAGGGAGGGAGGAGAGGACAGAGGTGGAGAAGGAAGGAATAAAGGAAGGAGGAAGAAGGAAGAAAGAAGAAGAAGGAGGAGAAAAGAAGGAAGAAAGAAGAGATAAAAATACAAACAATAAAATGGCAATAAATACATATCTATCAACAATTGAATCTAAAAAATAGAATCAGAGGCATGGAAACATGGAACAAACTGATGAATCTCATAGGGAAGTGGGGAGAGGAGTTGGGAAGAGATTAGTCAAAGATCTTATATGCATACTAGAGGCCCGTTGCACGAAGAGATTCGTGCAATAGGCCTTCCCTTCCCCTGGCTGCCGGCACCAGTTTTCCTCTGGCACCCGGGACCCAGGCCTTCGCTCTGGCCGGAGCCTTCAGTCTTCACTGCTCTGGCCACTCCGCCGCTTCGTGCCTACGTATGCAAATTAACCACCATCTTTCTTTGGTTAATTTGCATACTCTCCTGATTGGCTGGTGATTGTAGCAGAGGGACAGTCAATTTACATGTTTGTCTATTATTAGGTAAGACTAGAGGCCTGGTGCACAAAAATTTGTGCACTCAGGGGGGTCCCTCAGCCCAGCCTGTGCCCTCTCGCAGTCTGGGACCCCTCGGGGGATGACCACCTGCTGGCTTAGGCCCGCTCCCTGGGGAATTGGGCCTAAGCTGGCAGTCAGACATCCCTCTGGCAGCCCGGGAGCCCTCGGAGGATGTCCACTTGCCAGCGGGGACCAGGCCTAAGCTGCAGTCGGACATCCTTAGCGCTGCTGAGGAGGCAGGAGAGGCTCCCACAACCACCGCTATACCGGCAGCTGTCAGCCTGGCTTGTGGCTGAGCAGAGCTCCCCCTGTGGGAGTGCACTGACCACCAGGGGGCAGCTCCTGCATTGAGCGTCTGCCCCCTGGTGGTCAGTGTGTGTCATAGTGACCAGTCATTCCCAGTCGTTCTGCTGTTAGGGTCAATTTGCATATTACCCTTTTATTATATAGGATAGAGGCCTGGTGCATGGGTGGGGGCGGCTGGTTTGCCCTGAAGGGTGTCCCGGATCAGGGTGGGGGTCCCCGCTGGAGTGCCTGGCCAGCTTGGATGAGGGGCTGAGGGCCGTTTTCAGGCTGGCCACACCCCCTTCAGGGAGGGGGGTCCTGCTGGGGTGCCTGGCCAGCCTAGGTGAGTGGCTGATGGCTGTTTGCAGGCTGGACACAGCCCCTTCAGGGTGGGGGTCCCTGCTGGGGTGCCTGGCCAGCCTGGGTGAGGGGCTGATGGCTGTTTGCAGGCTGGCCACACCCCCTTCAGGGAGGGGGGTCCTGCTGGGGTGCCTGGCCAGCTTGGGTGAGGGGCTGCTGGCTGTTTACAGGCTGGCCACAGCCCCTTCAGGTTAGGGGTCCCCCATGGGATGTCTGGCCAGCCTGGGTGAGGGGCTGATGGCTGTTTGAGGCTGGCCACAGCCCCTTCAGGGTGGGGGGGGTCCTGCTGGGGTGCCTGGCCAGTCTGGGTGAGGGGCTGATGGCTGTTTGCAGGCTGGCCACAGCCCCTTCAGGTTAGGTGTCCCCCCTGGGGTGCCTGGGTGAGGGGCTAATGGCTATTTGCAGGCTGGCCACAGCCCTTTCAGTGTGGGGGTCCCCACTGGTGTGCCTGGACAGCCTGGGTGAGGGGCTGAGGGCCATTTTCAGGCTAGCCACAGCCCCTTCAGGGTGGGGGGTCCTGCTGGGGTGCCTGGCAAGTCTGGGTGAGGGGCTGATGGTTATTTGCAGGCTGGCCACAGCCCCCAGCCACCCAAGCTCCCAGTGGAGGCTGGCTGGAAGCAGGTATCTGGGATTTATCTATCTTCTATAATTGAAACTTTGTTGCCTTGAGCGGAGGCCACAGCCGGCCAGGGCAGGCGGGAAGCTTGGCTTCCTCCATCTCTGGGGCAACCAAGCCTCCTTCTTGCTCTAGCTCTGTGGCTGCCGGCTGCCATCTTGGTTGGGTTAATTTGCATATAGTCTCTCTGATTGGCTGGTGGGCATGACTTGGGCGTAGCAGAGGTGTGGTCAGTTTGCATGCTTCTCTTTTATTAGTATAGAATATGCATTACCTATGGACACAGACAATAGGATGGTGAAGGCCTGGGGCAAAGCAGGAATGGGAGGGAGTGGGCAATGGAGGGAGAGAAGGGGGGCCATCTGTAATACTGTCAACAATAAAGATTTAAAAATTTTTTAAAAAGGGTATGTACCTTGGTTGCAGGTTTTATCCCAGCCCTTTTGGGGTGCATGTGTGGCAACCAATCAATTTGTCTCTCTCACATTGGTATTTCTCTCTCTCTCTCCCCCCCCCCCTCCCTCATTCCACTCTCCTCTCTAAAAATCAATAGAAAGCATATCCTCAGGTTAGGATTAACAAAAAAATTAAAACGAATAGCCAGGAGGCTAGTGGGGCTGGAAGAGTGAGCAAGGAATA